TATTTATGTAGGGGAAACATCACCTGATCTAAAAACCTGCATCTACGAACACAAGAGAGATTCGCGTTTGGACGAGCGATCTAACTTAGATTCCATTAATGTTAACTTAATTACAAAGAACATAATTCTTTAAGGAGAAAATGCTTTGAAAACTTGATAATAATATTATTACCAACTATAAACACAAGCCTAAAACATTGCATTACATCGCCAACCTTCTTTCAATTCATTCTTAAAGAATCTAACATATATCTATCTAAAACAAAGAATACACACCTAAACAAGCAAACCATAAAATCAGAACACTGCGACTCCCTGCTGCGGGAGTTTGTCGTATAAAGGGGAAGATAAAAAATAAATAAATAGATAAAATCTAAATAAAAAATTAAATAAATAAATAAAATCTACTAGACAGACAAACGCACACAATTATAAATACACATTTCCACTCGTTGCCCACTTAAACATACAAAATCTTCACTAATTATCTCCACAATATTTTATGCTTTGAGGGTCTCAGTATCTTTTGTCTTTCATCCTCCCATTTCCACAAACTTATTAGGTAGATTACTTGCTGTTTTATTTGTCTTTATTTTCAATATTGCCTTTTCAGTGTCAAATACCCAAGCCCACTTTCCTCAGTATGTATCCTAAATCTCTCTCTCTCTCTCTCTCTCTCTCTCTCTCTCTCTCTCTATATATATATATATATATATATATATATATATATATATATATATATATGTGTGTGTGTGTGTGTGTGTGTGTGTGTGTGGACATAAAATATTAACGCTGCATGACTGATAGCCCGCCACAAAGAAGTGAGTGATAACTATGTGGAAAATCGCATTTTGTAGCTGAAAATTTGGTCTAACCAATACTAATAGTGAGCTCTCAGAATCTGTAGTAATGTCCCTGGAAATAAAAAGGGCATGTATATATATATATATATATATATATATATATATATATATATATATATATATATATATAGGTATTGGGGCATCCGATGATTTTTCAAACATGTATTGTTAAATATAACAGACAATGAATGTCCATCAGGTTTGATCCTGAGCCGTTCTCAGCTTCGTATTATTGCTTTAATTTCGGAAGAAACTAAATATCCAACATTTGGATATTTTTTTATTATGCTGTTGCTCGATCAGCTTAGATGGTAGTAACAGAAGAGGTGACTTGATGCAACAGAAATCTGGTTCTAAAGAAGGAGGCTGAAAATCCCATGTACTGAACATGGGAGTAACGAGGAAGTTTTCGAGAAATTGGAACAAGAAAAACATTTCTACTTAAAATCAGAAAAAGAGAATTGGAATTTCTAACGCACGTAATTAGGAAATGGAGCTTGGAGAATATTTCACTGATAAGACTTGCAAGGAAAACTGCAGATAATATACCTAAGAAGTTTGTGAAAATGTTTGGCAGAAGAAAGTACAAAAAACAAAATATACTAGAGCCACAAAAGACAAGGATTTCTGGAGATCCATGATCGCCCACATCCTCAGACGACACTGAACAAAGAAAAAGAAGCGGAAGTAGTAGCAGTATAGTTACTAGACTAACTAGATCTATGTCGACACAAAGGCTAATTTTTGATAGGGACGGCTTCTTCACAGACAAGATTGTGAAAGGAGACAATTAAAAGAATAAGCTTACGTGTTATAATCTAATGAAGCACTGATGATAAAAGCACTTTGCCTGAGCAACCAGACGAGCAACCTACCGGTTATCGCTGCGTGTGTGTGAATAACGTTCGGTTAAAATATAAAAAAAGTAAACATAAACAAAAATTAAAAAGAAAACAAAATCAAAAAATAAAACTTCAATAATCGTTAGGTTTGGGGTTTTGAGATTGAAAGAAAATGGCCAAAAATATTACAAAATAAAAATCATGAAATACTTACAGTTTTCGGGGATAATAAAATTCGTTTATTTATTTATTACTCTTCTAGACGTGGAGGGAGCAAACAAAATAGCCGCTAGAGGATATGGGAGGATGTACTGATCAAGAATTTGGGATTTAAGGAACGGGTCGTGTTTGTAGTTGTGTTCTGCTGAATTTATTTATGTGAATAGTCATAAGCGCGTGAGGGCGATGTAAATATATGTTTGTGGATTGGTTAGCTGTGCAACGAGAAGAAATACTTTTTTTTAAAGTCAGAGAAAAAAATAATGATAAAGATCATTGCCTGTTGTTTATGATAGACTTGTAAAGACCCAATATCACGATAGACATTTTTTATTCGCTTATTTTTGGGTAGGAGTAATTTGTGTGGTTTCGTTATCTCGGTTCAATTGCTGCTTTCTTTTTCCTGGATTTTTTTGTTTGTTTTTTTTTTTTTTTTTTCTATTTGATAATACATTTTTTTTTCTTTAGGAAGTAGGCATTTTCCCATTCTTTTTTTATTTATTAAGCAAAATATTAAACGTGCGTCGTGTAATCTTTAATAGTGGAACTGCCATACACTACATTCTGCTCTACCACGGGAAACTAAAAAAAATGTGAAAAAAAAAATGTAAAAAAAAAAATGTGAAAAAAAAATATGTGAATTTGCTAGAGAAGTGAAATCATTTTTGAACATGAAGTTGACAGAAGATATGTCTCCCCGAAAATAATGCTTCCTATTTTATTAGCAGAGGTGGATGTTGGTGGCATTGTAGTAAAGGTCTAGATATTTTGAATCTGAATTTTTGGGATAAGGAATTATCATTTTCTATGTGCGGTGTCTCTTTAGGACGTTTCCTATCCCTTGTATCCCCCTAGCAACGCTTATCCATTTGCCATATCCACCAGCCTCATTTTCGTCAGCCATTCACAAAACCTCGTTATATTGGGAGTCTGCTGACTTCTCATGTCCATCCTGCCTTCGATATGCCCTGTGAGTCTCATATTCTCCAACTCATCTTTAATCGTTAGGTGTACCAAAAATGTCACCTGTCTCTTCAATTGTAAGATGACAGAATGTATGGTTGTCAGTAAGATAAAAAAAACGTACAGAAGTTTAAGTACCGGGGAAGTGTTTTACCATGGGATGAACAATGTGGCATCGTTATCCCTGGGGCAATTGGAATAGTAAAGAGGCCTTTCAAAAGCTAAGAAAACTACTAAGAAAGAGGAAAATTTTGTTAGAAACAAAGAAAACTGAACTGCCATGTAATATCAATCAACCTATATCGCGTAGAATGCAGCCCTTATAGATGAACAGAAGACTTCAAGCAACAGTAATGTGGTTCTTAGAAAGGATGATGAGAGACGCAGTTTGTAAAGAAAGAATAAATTTTAAGGAATATGGAAACCAAAAGACACTTGGACAAGAAAAAGAAAAAAAAGCACGACATTTAGAAAAAGGACTTTCATTTTATTATTTGTGAATTACTAAGTATTCATTTTGGCGCAGTTTCCACTGTTTTGAAATTGAGCACTCCTTCTCCTAGACAGACTTCAATCCAACGCTATAGAGCTCTATTATTAATATCAAAGTAGGAGTGAGAATATATTAATTTTTTCCTTAGTGGAAAACTGAATGAAACAGACAAGAATGGAACTTGAACTCCGCTCGCCGAATCCACTGCCCCTACAGATTACCGTTACGATACACGTAAATCATCCATGAACTGTGTCCCTTCAGAACGTAAATTATCATGTCTCTCCACGACTTCCTATCCTTTATACTTGCAGAAATAGAATATATATCAATATTCACTCTATTGTTACAAAGTTTGTCTCCAAACGTAAACAATAATGAACCTACAAATGAGGAAATTCTTATTCGTCTTCATGTGCCATGTCTCCTAAGTACCATGCTCTTTGTAGCACTTTATAAATTTTGACTTTTTCTTAAAACTTATACTGCCATCCATTTATTCCAACTCGCTAGCTAGGTTATGCATTGTTTTCTTCTTCCCTTCAAATATTCAAGACTTCTTTTTTTATGTGCCAAGACTCCTAAGGACGTTGGTGATCATGGTTCTCTACAATTTCCAGTTCTTTGCAGCTCTTTATAAATTTTGACTTTTTATTAAACCTTATTCTGCCATCCATTTATTCAAACTCGCTAGCTAAGTTATGCATTGTTTTCTTCTTCCCTTCAAATATTCAAGACTTCTTTTTTACGTGTCATGTCTCCTAAGGACGTTGGTGATCATGGTTCTCCACAATTTCCAGTTCTTTGTAGCTCTTTATAAATTTTGACTTTTTGTTAAACCTTATTCTGCCATCCATTTATTCAAACTCGCTAGCTAAGTTATGCATTGTTTTCTTCTTCCCTTCAAATATTCAAGACTTCTTTTTTACGTGTCATGTCTCCTAAGGACGTTGGTGATCATGGTTCTCCACAATTTCCAGTTCTTTGTAGCTCTTTATAAATTTTGACTTTTTGTTATCTCTCCCTAAACCTTAATCCGCCATCCATTTATTCATGCACTTTAGCTAGGTTATGCGTTGTTCTCTTAGGCAGGTTTTTCGGAGGTGTTTTTCAACGAAAACACAATCCAAAAAATGACATAGATCTAAGAACATACAGGGGTCATTAAAAGATAAGAATACAGATATCCTTCCTCCCCATTTCTCGGACCAATCTCATTTGTGTCACTACTACCCAAAAATGAGAATGTTTAACATCAAATCCAAAAGGAAAATTAATTCATTTTAATAATATGTGAAAATATCAACTCCTTGCCTGAAGAAGGTGGCAAAACGGAAACTCGTGTAGCAAAATTATGAAAAACAAAAAAATATATATTTTTAAGAAAATCCACATTACAAACGAAAACGTTTGCGGTTTCTCTCTTCTTTTTAATTTAAATTGCAAATTTTTTTTTTGCGCTAGTGTACACACGGAAACACACGCACGCTCGCTCACGCACATGGGCATACCCTCCCCCTACATATATATATAAACATATATATATATATATATATATATATATATGTGTGTGTGTGTACATTCTTTTTTTTTTCTTTTTCAGCCAATCTGTTTCACAACATGCATCTATGCTGGTATCGGGTCTGCGTTGTCCACAGTCCGTCCACTGACCTCGGCAAACGGCCAGTCCTAATGAACAGTAGAAAGGCGACCGAAAAACAAGCTCCTTTCCAGCCCCGACTTGTCTGCTATTCCGACATTCAATGAATTAATGAATGTACTTCGTTAAACGACATTCAATACCAAAGTAGAATCGATTACTATTGATGTGTTTCGTTTTCTTTTAGCACCAGAGTCGAGTACCAAGCACTTCTCATCCCACTCATTGAATTCTCCTTTCTCCATTATTATCTACCTTTCTATTCTTTCTATTTTTTTTCTTTTTTATTCATTCAGAACTTCCAGTTTTATTGCTTCCTTTCTTTCTTTAATTTATTTTCCCTTTCTTTTCCTCGCTCTCTTTTTCACTCTCTTTTGCTCTGTTTTCATAATTCTTTTCTCTGTTCTTTTTTTTTCTTTTTTTCTTCCTTTTATGAATTTTTGCTTATTTTTTACTATTTCTTTCTTTCTTTTTTTCCGTTTCTTTTTCTCTTGTTTTTTTTTTGTTTCTGTTTCTGTTTCTTTTTCTATTGTTCTTCTTTTTGCCTATTTATTTTCTTTTTTTCGTTTCTTTTTTCTTTCTTGTATTTTTTTTATTTCTGTTTCCTTTTTCTTCTATTTTCTTTTTTTTGGATACCTTTTCTTTTATCCTTCTTTCTGCCTCGTTGTTCCCTTTTTTGCCAGTCATTTTTTTTCTTGTATTTTCTTTCCTTCGGCTTCATTTTTAAATTCTGTTTTCTTCATTACTATTTATTTTTTTCTTTTTCTTTCTTTCCCTTACGTTAATTCTCTTTTCTTATCGATTCTTTTTTTCTTTTATATTCTTTTTTTCTGTTTCTTTTTCTATGTTCTTTTTCTTCTTCATTCTTTCTGTTTCGTTATATACTTTTCTTGCTCTTTCCTTTTCCTCTTTTTATTTTCTTTCTTTTTCGTTTTGTTTCTTTTTTGTCTTATATTTTCTTTGTTTCTGTTACTTTTTTCTCTATTCCTTCTTCATGTTTCTTTTTTTGTGTGATGTTTTTTCTTCTCCCTTCTTTCTTTCTGCTTCTTTTTTTCCTCTTCCTCATTCTCTTTGTCTTCTTTTCCACCCTTCTTATTTTCTATCCCTTTTATATTTTCCCTAATTTTGTTCTCACCTCTTATCTCTCCCATTTTCCTCTTTTTATTTCTTTTTTGATGATTTCTCTTCATTCTTCCTGTTTTTTTTTGTTTTGTTTTTTTACTCGACGATTTCATCTTTATTGTCTCATCTTTTTTTCCCCACACGTTTACTCTTCTGTGACTTATCATTGTTTGACCTTTAAATACTTTCTTATTTTTGTTTCTTTGAAGAACTTTTTAAAAAGACTCTGTTTTCCTTTTTAGTTTATCCATCATAGCCATGTCCTTAGCGTTTCATCAGCCATTCCTTCGACTCATGGTCTGAAGTGACTATTGTTTTCTTCCCATTTTGATGTTCTTGTTGTCAACTTTCTTGGGCTTCTGTTCGTTTTAGCGTACGTATTTTGGGCTGTAATAAGTTGTAATACATTTTTTTATATTTACTCTGTATTGTATAAACATCAAATAGCTTCATTAATATCTCGAGGCAATTTTCGATTCAGAATAATCCATTTAATATTTGATTTGATTATTACTACTACTACTACTACTACTACTACTTTTATTATTATTATTTCCTTTGATTTCTGGTGTATACTCATTTGTTTCCGGGTTCCAACCAGAGACCTAAGGTCAGACATGGAGTCATGACATTTTCCACTGTATATTTCTTTTTTTAAAAAAAGTGGCAACGGAAGTCCACGAACATTTTACATCGATAAAGCACCTCGTAAATGTGAGCTGTACTTTGTGTACAATATCTTGTATACCATTAAGACATGGGCTAGCAGGGATTCCTTCAATGAGTCCATCGAAACCTTTTCCAATCAGCCCGGGGCCTTCAACTAGAACTGGAACTATTGATGTCCTCATTTGCCACAATTTTTAGATTGTATTTTGATCGTTCTTTGAAGATTTTCAAAGATATTTTACAATCTGTAGAGACTGACAATATCAATAAGAAAGCGCCATTCTGTCTTGGCAATTAGCCTTGACTTTTCTGTCTGTCTATGTTGTAAAGTCAGAAAGTTTGTTTTTTTAACCATAATGTTGAATGTGTTAAAATGCTTCCACTTTTTAATAAGAAAATATCAAGTTGATCTTACAAATTGCCACAAAACATTATTGATTTATTGATACGGTGACTATTATGAGATATTTCTAATTTGTATTTATATATATTGTATTTATTTTCAATTTTTCTAGTAGAATTGTTCACCTATATTGCATATGATCTATTATTGTACATAATTAGGTTACAATAAAATTTTATTTTACATAAATACTACCTTATTAAAATTGAGATCTAATAAAGTGGTGTGTACCGTATCATAAATTCAAGGTGTGACCGAAACACTTTCACCCGGCCTGATCTTATTCAGTCGTTAATTACAATTAATTTATGTTAGTGAGCACTATATTGAGATATTTTTTCTACATATGTGAGCGGTACCAATGTGCACAATCTTTTCTATCTTAGATATTGAGTAATTTCTTGTATTTTCGTAATGCGTGTATCGATCTATTTTAATAATTTCAAGTGACCTTCACCTTTTTCTTGTAGTGGTTATCTTTAAATACCACTTTATAACAATTACTATTTCCAGGTAATTATATTTTGAGAGTTTTAAAATTATTTTCTGAGAGGGATTTATAAGAAAGCCTTTCTTTGAAATGGCACTTTTAGTTAGTTTAGTACTACTACGACTACTACGACGACTACGACTACTACTGCTACTACTTCCGCTTCTTCGTCTTTGTTCCGTGTCGTCTGAGGATGTGGGAGATCATGGATCTCCACAAATCCCTGTCTTTTGTGGCTCTAGTATATTTTTTTTGTACTCTCTTCTGCCAAACAATTTCACAAACTTGTTAGGTATGTTATCTGCAGTTTTCCTTGCAAGTCTTATCAGTGAAATATTCTCCAAGCTCCATTTCCTAATTACGTGCGTTAGAAATTCCAATTCTCTTTTTCTGATTTTAAGTAGGAATGTTTTCTTGTCCAAATTTCTCGAAAACTTCCTCGTTACTCCCATGTTCAGTCCATGAGATTTTCAGCCTCCTTCTTTAGAACCAGATTTCTGTTGCATCAAGTCACCTCTTCTGTTACTCCCATCTAAGCTTTAGATCGAAGAACAGCATAATAAAAAAAATATCCAAATGTTGGATATTTAATTTCTCCCGAAATTAAAGCAATAATACGAAATTGAGAACGGCTCAGGATCAAACCTGATAGACATTCATTGTCTGTTATATTTAACAATACATCTTTGAATAATGATCTGATGCCCCAATTCCCTATATATATATATATATATATATATATATATATATTATATTTGCTTTTATCTCTGGTTTCTTGGCTTGTTTAGTAGGGTCTGTATATCTGCTAAGGTGGTGTTTTGTGTTCTTCCCGTGCACCATTATTCTGTATTGAGATATGTTGTTACCATGCGCAGTTCCCCCACCCCGCTCTTTCACGTTTATAAATCTACCACTTGTGCGTGCATTCTATTCAAGTAAATAGCTCGAGATTCTCGAAAAAATCCTAGAAGGGTCTATAATTTTATCGGTCTTGACTTCAGTTACATTTCAACACCTGCAACTTGACTTCCTTCTGTCTTTTCTCTAAATGTTTTATGGCAATTATTCTAGTGAGCTCACCTCTTAGGTAACTCGACCACGTGAATTTAAACATACTTCTCGATTGGGTAACAAGTCTCATCGTTTTAATAGTTAAATGCAACAGTAACTTCTAATAATTTATTTTCTTGCACTTCTCGTCTGTGTAAATCTCATTTGGTTTCTTTCTTCCTTGTCACCTACAATCCTCAAAAATGTAAATGCTACGTCAATCGTCATCATTTGCCTTCCTTACGCCTGTTATTTCATTGTCCTTTCTTCTCATTAAAGTCTGCCCACTCTTTTTAATTCTCGGTAATCCCTTCTGTCTTAGTAGCATTATCGCCTTTCTTGGGTTGAAATGATTACAAAATAGTTTCTAATTCATATATTTCCTCACCAAATCATATCTACATTCAAATTTATTTGGCGTGAAGGTATAGCAACCATTTATTAGATGGCGATCGGTTGCCTCAACATTTGTACAAAGGTTGTTATTATTATTATTAATAATAATAATAATAATAATAATAATGATAATAATGCAACATTTCCATAAGTGCGCGATTTCCAGAAAAGAAGAAAGAAATGCCACAGTGTTTAACAATTTCTAACAAAATTTTGAAACTATGTCTACCAGCCTCAAGTTTAGGTAAGCCACTCACTGGTCTATCGCTATTATCATGAAAAGTCTCGGACGAAGTCCATTCATTGGTTCCACCAGTTCTAATGTTCACGGCTAGGACCCGCCATAACACTCACATTGTAGCAACCCACCCAGATTCTCTCCGTATTCCATTCATGAAAAGTAAGTTCCCCTCCAGCAGCTTCTTTCCAGGAAACACTGCTCTGTGAAACCGACTCCCAAGGATTACTACAATCGTAATATGTTCAAGTCTAGGGTTAAACGTTATCTTCTCCACCTATCAGTATAAAATGTGCTTTTTATTTCCTACCCCTCTACTTCGAATGACCCACGGGCCTTGTACAGGGTGAACATCACTTTAATAATAATAATATATATATATATATATATATATATATATATATATATATATATATATATATATATATATATATATATGTATGAAGAAAAATATACGGAAAAACAAACAAAAATCCTAATATGCAATTATGCTCTTTTAATGTTAATAAAATGTCAACGTCGGACATTTCGGTCTAATAGACCATGTTATCTGTTTGGATTGGTCTTGTTTTATGTCCATCGTCTTTTTCATGTTGAATTGAATATGGTCTATGTTAATTATGCTTTATGAATATGTCCTGAAGATGGTCTGTTAGACCGAAACGTCCGACGTTGACATTATATTAACATTAAAACAGGATAATTGCATATTAGGATTTTTGTTTGTTTTTTTCCGTATATTTTTCTTCATACTGTCGGATCTATATCCATATATTTGCTTACATATACATATATATATATATAAAGAGGATGCAACCGTATTTCTTCGGCGTTTTCTACAAATACTTGTTTTTATACGTCCATGGATTCTCTCTCCTTTTTTTTATATGGAACTTCTGCTAGGTTCTTCAGGACGGTTCCTAGTCTCATTACAACGGCTCGTAGTACTGCCAGGTGCATATTCCTCATCTTTCACAATACCCTTACAGGGTTATATCTTGATCTATCTCTTTACGTACCTTCAGGTTATTTATACCTAATTTTACCATGCAACCGAGTATTACCTTTCAAATAGTTGAACCATAGATGAATAGCCCGGTTATACTTTCTCTGAGAAGGAGGGTGCCTTGAAACCCAGGGCAGATTGACCTCACCTGTTTTCAAACCCAGATATGTGGAATGAAGTGGTCAGGTGTTCAACTGCGCAGCAACCCTACACCCTTGCCTGGCGACGGTACTTATTCTATATTGTCTTCTTTTTGTCCTTCATCATTTTCATATGTTTTGTTTTTTTTCTTTTGCGTATCATTTTTTCGAACGGCCTTCATTATATTTCTTATTTATCAGGTCTTTATCAAAACTGACTTCCCCGGATGTGTCTCTTTAATATTGTCTTCTTACCTTACGTCAGATCTTTTTACACTTTCATCTCTTCTTTGTTGTTTCCGATTCTACACTTTTCTATGTTTTTCTTTATTTCTTTTCCGTATTAAAATTACAACATTCCCGCCTTTATTTCTTTTCCAATCATTTCTTTCTCTTCCACATTCTCTTCATTTTTTTCTCTTTATTTTCTCTCTCCGAACCCCGCCACCTTATTCAGTTTTTCTTTTCTTCTTCGATATTTGCCTTCAATTCCTGTCTAT